CACATCCTTTTCTCTGGTTAACCTGACAAACTTTGTTATGTCAGATGTTTTGACTGGCTCTAGAAGTTTTGTAAATAAAGCACTTAAAGGGGCTTTTTAATGACCCAAGTACGTTGTCTCTTAGCAGTGAAATCTCCTACAGCACCTCTGGCTGTTTGAGAAGGTGTATAAACAGACCTATCTCAATGCAATTGCTACTGGTACTTGTTTCATATCCTTTTGATATAAAGGGTACATCATGTTCACCCTAAAAACAGATTTTCTATAGCTCATCCTAGACTTTGGGCTACTTAATCCCCCAGAGTGTTCACAGCTTAGTTCTGAGGGCAAATAAAATTGCTGTCTAAACTCTCCCTGGAAGTATATATTGCATCCTTCCACATCCCTCCCTCTAATCACATATCTGTAAACTGAAGTTTCTCTCAATAAACTGAGGCCAAAGTAGTCATGTTTCTACCTGCCTGGCCTACCAACCATCCGGTTTAGTTTGTTAGCTTTTTGCTTTTCCATATGTAAAACCTGTTATCTTAAAACTGAGCATGGAAGAGACATTCCAGTCCATGTTCCCTTGGATTTCTTTTAACTTAACTTTATAGCCAACAACACAAAATCATTTTTGCATTTATGCTGAACAAAGGCAGAGTTACCTGTGGCAGGCTGCTGTATTTCACTGCTGTGGGAACTTCCAGAAGGCACTAAACAGCAGAATGGAAAAGATGCGAACGGATGTGGAATCTGCGCAGCTCCAGCAATACAGGATATAAGTAAGAACTGGAGGGCTGAAGGCAGTCGTGCTGTGGTGGGCACAATATATCAGTGCAGCTCTCCTTCGTTACCTGATGGGTAGCGTGCAGTGCACTGAGTGATGGTAATGGATGTGACTATAGACACATCGGTTTCCTTTCCCTTTCTCCTTTCTCTCCCTTTCCTTGCCCAGGCCGCTTCTGTAGCCTTGATCATGTCAATCACTGCAATCTGGGGGATGAGGTGATTAGTAAGCTTTTAAAACTGTCTTCTAAAAAGAAGAATGTCTGAAGAGTGAGATTAAAAAACTTCTCAGCATTATCTTCCACAGCTAAAGTCTCCTTCATATTCATTCTGTTCCCTTCAAGAGTTTGGAATGCTTGTTTTGCTTGTTTGGGGCGGGGGGGGGGGGGGGGGGTTTTTTTTTTTTCCAGCCAAAGCAAATTCAAATTTCCATAAATTAAAAACACACTTGACTTTTGGAAAACAATTGTTCGGGAGTTGTTCTTATAAGAAAAGCATATTGAAAACACAACTCCACATTGTCCTACAAAGACCTTTCAGGTCTGATTATACTGAACGATGCAGGACCAGCCTAAATATTCCTGAGCAAACTGGCACATCCACCAGGCCCAGCACATCAAGCTAGGGTCTAAGATGCAGCTTATACCCAAGCATGGTAGTAGGCTCATATTAATTAGTCTCTCAGACAAAGTAATCTGGGAATAAATCCACAGTATTTTTGTATTTTGAGAGAGTTTTTTTCTTAGCCCAAATCACATTTTTTTAGAAGCTGTACTGGTACTGGGTTAACTGGCTTAACAAGGATTGCATGGATGAATGCGGGCAATAGTGAAAGCTGAATGACTGGGAATGAAAGCAAGAATAAGTAAAACTGCTGAACTTACTCCTGCGTCCACTAAAATAAAGCCTCCTCAAAGAGTTCCTCACTGATCCCAATAACTTTGAGGGGCAACAGATGACAATTAAGTGCTGTCATTACAAATTGTTTCAAAACCGCTTTAGAGATGGAATAGTCAGATAATCTCAAAGGGATGTTAGTTGTCATCTAATTCAGATAATTCACAAGATTCACTGAGTCACTATCCATTATAATCCATTAATATCATGATTATTTTTCAAATCATAAAAAAATCGTAATTGTTCACTGCACGCTGGAGGGGGAAGTGTATGGTACTGGCACATGATCAACATGAATAAGGACAAAGCCTATTCCAAAAGTGAATAGTGACTTAGCATGGCTCCAAGCTTCACCATGCTCTCTGAAACAGCTGAAGAACATGTTTTCCAGCAGCACTGAGAATGAACTCACTAGACAAAAACCAGTCTACTTGCAAGGTTGTAAGATAGCAACTTAGAGCAGCTCAGGCTAAACTTCAACAGAAGAATAGTGCTAAATTGCCAGTGAGAATCTGGGTCCTCCAGCAATTTATATGATCAAACAAACAGTTCAAATATTTAGTTGTGTGCCTCTTTTCAGAACTAAAATACAGTAACAAAGAGAAAGGCACATAACATCTTACTTCTTTGACCTTCATTACAATAGGATTCTTAAAGATATAAATTTGGCAATAATCAGCAGCAGAAGCCTCATTTTACGCCTTTAAAGATCTGTGCAAACATCCACTATTTACTCACAAATCACTACAGATTAGCTTTCAGCAGATTAGATAGGAAGGCTTTGGGGCACACTGTACTTCATGTCACATTATAATGAGGAAGGAAGCTAGGAAAATTTTGGAACAGAAGAGAGAAAGTTGGTTTTGGTTTTCTGACATAAACCGTTACAATACAGTACCATGATGTTTCCTTTGTCTGGTAAAGACTTGTGGTAAGGACTATGGGGAAATACAAATATAGGAACATCTTAAAATCCTGTTTTAAAATCTCAGCACCATCAACACACAGAACTCACTATGCTCTCATGCTCAGTGGGAGAGAAAATGCTGAACTTTCAATGAAAACAGGAAAAAAAACAACTTCTATTTGCTTTATCTTCAGTGTATCTTTTTTGTCTATATTTTACTTTTCATTGAATTGCAAAGATCTGATGTTGCATGCTTATCCAGGTCTCCTGCCCACAAATTTCTCTCATACATACCTCTAAAGTTATATTACAATACACAGTCACAGAAAGTGCTTCAAAGTACCTGCAATACTCAAATCATTTCAGCCTCTCATGGTTTCCAGCCTAATGAACAAGGCATGTTAGGATTATGTCATGGTGACAAAATACAGAGGTTTCTCACACAGAATTCAAATAAGCCATTCCAGGCATGTACTAGTAAGACTTTCATACCACTTTTTTTTTTTTTTTTTGGCTTTCCAAGGTCATACAATAACAAGCCTTTAAGTTGAGATTCCAGGTGTGATTGGCAAGAGGTTCAGCCAGTATAATGGAGGAAAATTCCATACTTGAAGAAATGCATTCTTGGTGACTGTCTAAAGTCATGCAAAGGTTTAGGACATGAGGGAGAGAGCAGTAGGCAGAATTGTCAGGAAGTACATTCTCACCATTATCATTTTGATCATCCCAACTGCTGTTACACTATAAATGCTGTAAATGCTGAATGGAACTATCTCACTTGACTTGATAAAAGTAATCACAGTTTCGCCTGCAGGTGCCTAAGACACTTTCTCCAGTAGTAAACCATTTGTTATATCAACTCTTAAGCATCACACAAAAAAGAGAAATAATCTCCATGGGTTCAGTTGCATCTTTGCTTGTGGGATTTGTTCATAAACTTCCTACAGAGACACTATCCAAGCGCTGGCTAGCCTTAACTTTGCTCTCTTAGCCAATAGTACATAACACGGACGATTACAGTGTATAGTTACAATATATAGTTATAGTATACAGCATAACCCATTGAAACCACAGAGCATCCTCCTCCGATATCAGTATTTGCCAAGCTGCACTCACATGCAGTTCTAGAACTAAGAGTACAACTTCAAGATACCTCAAAAATGGCATGACAGCTCAAAGAAATTAGAGATTGTATTGTGCTTCCTGAATTTGGCAGGGAAAAGAATACTAAATTTTCTTTGTAGCACACCCCAAAATACATAAAATTATAATAATCAGTAAGACTGAGAATTCTTCCTGTCAGCTAAATAAATGCATCACAAAAATTTGAGTTTTACATTCTTTTAAGCTTCAGTTTTTGCTCTCAGGATGCAATTGTGTGTTATGTTCTTATCCCTGAAAAAGAAGTGTTGCGCTTTTAAAGTCCAGGGCATGATGTCCAGTGGAGGGGTTAAGTAGAATGAGATTGCAGCATTTTATACTATTTATGAAGATGTTTATCAAAATTATTTAATGTTATCAAAAAGATGCAGAGTGTATAAATGTACTGCTCCTTTTAAAACGTTCACAATATTGCCAATATTAAGAACTCTCTTTTCTCTTGGCCAAAGAGCCTTTCTAAGGTCACACAACCCTCTACACATAACATAATGACAAATACATTTTTGGGTGATGATGTCTAAGTGGTTGTTAAACACGCTCTCTCATATTTGCACTTTCCCTGTTCCCATCATGTTCTTGAGTAGTTTATTAATAACAGAGAACCAAAGATTATAAGCATTAAAATGTTACATAGTGGACAGACCATCCTGAGAAATCCATATGGATTTCTCTTGAATAAGGCATATAAGACCTGCTTATCTCTCCACATTCATTTTTCAGTTTGACTTTTGTGAGACTACCAGGTAAATGTTTCATATATAACTACTCTTCTAACAACACTTAGTCTTGTTGTTCTATGGTTTAGACTCTTCAAAGGTTTGAAGCTCAGAGGTTTTTGGCATACTAGTAATAAGTTAAATGACGCGCAGGACAGATGCAGGAATTGCTCTCTTTCATTAAGAGGCTGCTTACTGTTCTGCTCTCACACCATAAATTTAGTGAAAATAATTCAAGCTTCTCATATATGTAACTCAATAAAATTTCACCCTGCCTTTTTAAACTGCATTCTTCATTGTTCTGTTTCTAAAAAATTGAGAGCTATTAAAAATATCACCTTACCCTGGAGAAAAAGCAAATCGTTCCCTTCTGAAACAATATGACAATATTTTAATAAGGAAACTACCTCTGAAACTGAAATAAACTACAACCTATGCAAAAGGAATCATACCTGTTCACGATATGAATGGAGGAACAAACACAATGAAACAGAACATAAGTTTAAAGGAATGACCACATTTATTTCTTATTAAAAATAGTACATCAAGATTTAAAATATAAATATCAAAATTATTGCACAGTCAGCAAACTAGCTTTGGCAGCATTTTTTTAACATGGGTGTGCAATAATATGCTCCGGCAGATTAAACTCCACAAAATTTATGATGTGTACCTGTTCTGGTTACATCATAAATCATCCCACAACAGCAAGATAATTTTTCCTGTGCACGTATAGAACATCATACAGTAATACAATATATGCTTTATGAAAGCTAGAAAGAAGGAAAGAAGAGAGAACGTCTCTTAATGCTTCCCTTACACCTTTGACTCAAACAAGTTTAAGGAAGAGATATTTATCCATTTGCATTACATTATCCCATTTGCAGTCATTCAACATAGGCAGTTCCAAGTATGCATACAGACACACATATATTAACAGGTTTTGTTATAAATAGCTATGGCTTTCATAGGTAACTTCAAATACACAATCTTCTGCATGTCTTGGAAAAATTAACATCCCAGTTTAGTTTATCAAAAAAATTAGTTCATCCACAGGCAAATATCCCTAATGGGAATGCGATTCTGTGAATGTCCCAAAGAGTCTGTCCCAGTGGGTGAAGTACGGAGCGTAGTTTGATTTGAATTTCAGATGATGGAGATCATGATGTGGAGCTCCTCCATACAAACCAAAAGGCACGAGTCGGTGAGTTGACCATGGAAGGTCATATCCTGAATGATCCTCCACTGACAACCAAATGTTTACAAGGAAGAAAATCATTTCTGTCAAAGGATGGCATCTGAGGAGCACTGGATTGATGGCAGCAAAAAATCCCAGTGAAAGTAATTCCCATACGCTGGAATACTGTGTAGTAAGAGCAAACGTTGAAACATGTTTGTGATGCACCTTGTGAAAGGTCTTGTAGAGCCAAGGCACCCTGTGATGAAGCAAATGCCACAGGAAATACTCAAAATCAAACAGAAGCAGGCAAACTACTACTTCTAGCAGGACCTCAGGCAGCTCTGGAGCCATCACAGGTAGATTCATTGGTCTCCAGTACCAGTGGAAAAACGTCACTGGGAAAATCAAAACAACATGATGATAGACACTTTGAATAATGCAAGGCACCATCATTCCGAGAGTTGGATAGCTCTGTGGCTGGATTTTGTATTTTCTCAAGTTTGGTAGTCTAGTGCTTAAAAAGTCCAGTGCAATATAAGGAAGACAGAAAGCCATGTATGCTGTAAAAGAAAACAGCACTGGAAAATACGGTGACTTGATCAATGGCTCCTTTGCTGTGACAAAGTCCCAAAGAAACTGAAGGCACAACCTGTCCTGCTGTCCATCCATTCTGTAGCTGAGCAGGACTCTGTTGGGCATGCTGCAGTTCATGCTGCTTGCAGTCTGAGACGCCAGAAAGTGCTGCATGCCTTTATCTAGCCTGCTCAAACGAAAGCTCCGCCCAGTTAGAAATCCTCATTACTGAGCTTCGTATATTCGTAGCTTTAAAGAGGAAGTTCCCTTTCCTGTTATACAGAAGCAGTATAATGCATTACAATCTCACAAAAGAATTCTCTCATTGGTGGAGTGCAAGAATTCTAACCGGCGCAGGTAATCACTAGAACTCTAGAGAGGACTTGGGTGATAGGAAATGCAAGTAGAAATGCAGAACTCTAAAACTGGAATTCAGAGAAAGACAGTAGGAACATTTTCCATTCCACTTACTGCACACGCTTGAAAAACTGCCACCTTTCACTAATTTTAAATTGTATCATCCTCTGTTATCCTTTTGCTTTTATATGTAACTTAGCATTGATTTTTCCCATGACTCCTACCAAAGATGTCTGCGTAACTCAACTCCAAGTCTGACTTTCTGTCTGATGGGTAATGGATGTGTGCAAACACACATTTTCCTAATTGTTCCCTGGGTATACAACAGGTTAAGTCGAAACCTTAATGACATCTACACTATGCTTCCAGTCTGAATGTGGTGGCTACAATTCATCTCCATCCACTTTTGTGCTCCTTTTCTCCTTTATTCTCCTGTATCTTATTTGGCATGGCAAAACCCACCTGACCTTGGCCAGACACAAAATTGAGCCGGCAATTACTGAAAAATATCCTCCAGTTGCTGGGAAGGACGCAAGGTCAAATCTCATTTTCTTTACAAACAGATACTTAACGACAAGTACTATTGCATTATTATACTATTCACTCCACAACTTAACAGCTCTTTGAGTGATTGGATAAGGGAATCATCCTTTATCCCAGTTATCAAACTAAGGTAGTTAGAAGGTCCGTTGGTTAGAACTGTGTCCTTTAAAAGGATCTTCCTTTGACCAATAGCAAGCACAGAGCAGATAGAGGCTAGCAGGCTCAAGTTGCAGCATTTAAAATTTGCTAAAGGTATATTAGGGGTAAAAGATGAAAGTTTTGGTTTAACCACTGTGAGATTGCTTCTTTTGTGCTTTTTGAAGCAGACAGACAAAGCTTTGAATATTTAGGGAAACAGAGTTTGCCATCAACTTCCTATGAACTCACCTCTTTTGTAGGTACAGCATTTATTCTAACACTGGAAATTAGCTCAGCTTCCTGGATGACTTTATTAGCTTGTTCAGATGATTTTTGGTCTTTGCTATTCAGAAAAGAAATCTGATGGAGGAAGTGGGAGCTGGAATTTCATTGCTGCTTAATAATTAAGAATCATGAATTAGCAGTGACCTTTTTTGATCTATGCCCAGACTTCTCCTAATCCTGAAGTTTGTTTTCAGTCTCAACTGTTTTCTTCTCAAGAGATTCTGCTCTTAAAAATTAAGACTTTGTTCCCTCTTAGACTCTAAGGGGTTTACTGAAAACAGTAACATTAATATGAACAGTGCTATTATTCAGGCTATTTATTATTCAGAAGTTATTTTTTAGAGACAACTATGGTACGGTCTTCAGAGACTCTACTCATTGCACCTATGTTTTAGAAATACATTCGCATTTTCTTCTGTTCCGTTGAACTCAAAGAATTTAGACTGTCGAATTTAGAGAAACTGTAGCCCAGTGAGATACACTGATTTAATGGCTGAGGATGTATATGTAAGAGTTTCATTCAATCTTCTGACAGTATTTTATCCTGACCTCCATTTCACCATAACGACATGAGAGATGCATTTCTATTGCAATCACTGTCTGGGACAGAAAATTTTCTTGTGAGAGATGCTTTCTGTTGATTTATGTAGATACAATCAGAAATTAAGTCTGCCACAGGTGATACGGGATCCTCTTATTATAATTATGCAAGGATTGAATTTGTTCTATAACGTACTCCAAATCTGCCTACAGGGGGATTGACAGAAATTGCTCAACTGCCCTAAGACACTCCTCCAACTAATCTCTAATAGCTATGTGAGTTCTCAAGAAGTTTTAGCACCAATGCTGCCTATAAACCAAAATGTAATGAATGGGCATTTTGCCTACAGATTAGGTCATAGAAAAATATTCTGAAGTCCCTTAAGGAAAAATCACAGGATTTTGCAGTCTTATTGCTATTATATCCTGAAACATAAAGTCCAAGCAAGTGGATCACTGCAAACAGACCCTGCCTCAGTGACTGCCTGCAGCTCCAGTTCGGACTCTGCACGCAAGCAGAGCAGGCAGAGGGAGCCATGGTCATGCTGCACCCCATCTACTGGCGCTGAGAAGGATGAACTCTGCTGGCAAGTTTTACCCCTGCTGGGTCTTGACTCAGGCTCAGCAATGAGTATGCGCAGCAAACTAAATCCTCATGCATCAGAGATGGCAAATCCTCTTTAGGTCTCTATTCTCCAGAAATTGATTTCAAGTTATTTGGCTTAGCCACTAAAAAGCACCTATTTCACATATTTATACTGCTTCCCTAAGTCAGGTTTCTTTGTCAATACAAGATACAATGCAGAGAAAAGACAAAATTCATGCAAATCTTATCTGTATTTAATTCAGCAATATAACCCCAGCTTTTTTTGCTTAACTTATGAGGCTGCCAAACTTTTCCATATGTTACAAGATTCTAAACGGGTCTCTAAAAATCAAGACTCCTGCTACAGCGCTTAGGTTGAAGGGCACATAGTTTGGAAGGAGGCCCCGCAAAGGGTCTTAAATAGATTCCACATGAGCACAAGACGCAAGCACCTACCCCAAGCTACACTATTAGGTACAAGCTATAAGGTGAATAGTAAAACATTAACAAGTGGGTAGGGAATTGAGGAAAAAGTAGCATGAGGGGAAACCAGGATCAATATGCTGAAAATGGTATCACAACAGCAGAGACAAAATATCTTTTTCTCTCCTCCTCTCCCTCTCTGTGGTAGGATTATCGTTGTACCAGGGATGCATCAGAAGACAGGTCTCAGCGCATGCTGAACCTTCTACTAGAAAAAGGGTGCTGGGGAACAGGGTTGATAACGATGTAGGACAGTAACAGCAAAGCAGGATAGTAACTAGAGCAAAGGAAGAGAGAGGTAGTCCCTTACCTCATTTTAAAACAAACTGTTAACCCTGCTGGAAAAACACAAGAAATCTGCGGTCTTTAAATACTAACTCACCTTACTCCAAGAGACTGAGCGCAAGGAGACTATTCAGCAATAGTTCATGGCAGCTCTGTGAGGGTGAGGGTGAGGGTTTTAAAAAACTCTTTATGCTCTGCCTGCTCCCCTGCAGTGGCCTTTCTGCATGCAACAGCACCACCCAGTGCAGAAATGCATTGTCAACAGATCTGCTCAGGACAATCATACTCCAAAATAGCTTTCCTGAGACTTCATTGTAAGAACTTCTTTCAAAGTAAATGTTTGCTTTCTGTTAATGTTACAGTTATTAGGAAACCTTTTTTTCCATCTTGTCAAAACTTCCTGGGATAGCAAAATATGCATTACTTTACAGTGGGACAAACACTTTCAGAAGTTGGTAGGCATAGGGCTATGTCACAGGCCTCATAGGTAAACAGGTTGGGAAGGAAAGAGTGAGCTTTGCCTATTTACATCTTTTCAACCTATACTCTCCTGATGTTTAGGTATACTGAGATTCAAGTCCTGGACCTGAATCTAGAGAAGCGACGAGCGCCTTCATTTCTCATATCCCAGCTAAGCAGCTTTAACCTAGAGCCCTTAAACATGCTGGGTACATGCGGATAAAGAACACACACTCCTCTTCAGTTTTGATGGAAAACTTCAGCCTAAACCCAAAACGCTTAACAGACTTAATATGTCTTCTTAATCAAATTATTTTCATATCAACACTGTACCTCCCCAAACAAGTTTCACTGAAAACCTCTTCCAGCCAGTAGGGAAAGAAAGCTTAATTAGAGGTTTTCAAATTAATTCTTAACAAAAGAGCTGGGAAAGGAGAGCTGCCAGCAAAGCAAATTGTTAATTCTCAAGTTACGTCTTAACACCAGTATCAGCTTTCAAAATAGTAACAATCAAGGTAGGATTTTAAAATTCATTCATTGTCCTTCATAATTCAGTAACGTGAAACTGATTTGTAACCTCTGCCACTACATACATTCATAATTTTGGGAGGCATCAGAATGCGGTATCGGCACTTTTCAGCTCAGTTGCCTCAGAAAATAACACTTAGGCAATCATGTTACAGGTGTGACTACTGTCCATGAAATCTTCTTAATCTTTTATTTCATTGACATTTTCAATCAAATCTCTCTGCAGGGTAGCAATCTCAGAAGTATTATGTTCAAGTCAGTTATCTGAAAATAAGCTGCTAGAGAAGAGAAGCCGTATGAGCTACAGGAAATGCTGCAGCAGGAGTTTGCATCCATAAGACATCCAAGAAGGGGAAAGACATCGTGAATCCTTCATTTACAGAAGAATCTTCCATTTGGACCATGTTTTACTATATGCCAGAAAATCTATTCCTCCATCAAGGAAAAAGAATGCCATTTATAATTTCTCCTGTGATTAAGGTTTTCATGTTTCTTTTTTTGTATGATACATTCACCATAATCTAGAGAGTGATTTACAGCAAACTGGTCTGTTTTGTTCCCAAGCTGACAGAACTATTTCTCTAACACAGCCCCATGGAGTAGGTGCTGTTTTACCACCATTTCCTATGCTGAGTTTTACCACCATTTCCTATGCTGAGGCACTTCCATGTTGTTTGAGTTGATGTGTAACTCTCTGTCAGTGTTATTACTAGATACAGGATCACTAAATACTGTGAAAGTGCTCTGCGCTGGGCTAGTACGTCACTTCGTACAGTACACACCACTAACATACACTCATCCGACCACTCTCAGGGCCTGTATGTGGTAGGCCTTCTGCATGAGAACAGTCTAAATTTTTTTTGAAGATGGAATTCATAGAAAAACCCTGTTCAGGTTCTGATCACAACGTGGACACAAACACAAACACTGTCCGTTTGTATGCACAGGCCCTTGTACGCCCATCGGTGGGAAAGTCCTGCACTGTGCGTACACTTCAGATGCACATTGCGAGCCTAACAACCCATCAGCTGCACAGGGACTATTTTCTCCTGCTTTCTAGCATACCTTGATCGCAGTGAGGCTAAGTCAGGAAAATGATAAGTCTGTCAGAAAAATGCCCCCTCTCTCTGTTATGCTAGTAGGCTTTGATGTTACCCTAAGCTGATGTTTTAGCCAATCCTCAACATCACAAAGGTGGGGGCAGAACAAGCACTAAATGGGTAAGATCTGCTTTGAAAAGTATATCATTTGTCACTACTCATTCATATTTAAAAACGGGCTTCTTGCTCTTCTCCTCCATGTTCAACATGTCTCATTTCACACATTTCTATCTATTGATGCCTGGGCAAGTTTGTCACACACTGCTTGAAACTCCAGCAGGCTAGGGACAACAGAGTAGTTCATAATTCCCATACCCATCCCTGTTCCAGCAAAGTGGAGAAGCTCTATAATGGCTTTTGTGGAAAATTCTCCTGTTCTGACTTCATTTCCAGTCATGCAGGAGGGGTCATCGGCTGATAAAGCTGACAATAAACAGGATTTCATCCATCCTGCTATCTTGACTACACATCTTCTAGTGTATTCACAATGTATGGAAAGGTACAGCCTGAGCATATTTATTATCAAAGATGACAAAGGTGAAAGGCTGAGTTACAGAAGTAACTGGGTGATCACGTCAAGTGCACCAAGGCAAAGATTAGTTCCCTGCCCTACAATGTGGTTAAATGCTATTTATGAGATTATTAGACAGTCAGTTAAGCAATCCAATTACACAAGGTTTAAGAATGTGATACAAGAAGCTTTCTACCATGTCAGTGATTAGAAAGGAACTCTTTACCTGGAGGCTTAGAAAATACCTGAGTCCCGTGAGTCCGTGTGTATTCACAACTGATACCTTACTTTGTCTCTGAAAAGTTTCAGAGAGTCACCTGAAACAACATGAATGGCCTTTTATGTTTAGGCAAACTCTCTTTCACAACAGAATTAAAATGACAGTTTACTTGGCTGCTTTACATTGTATTGTACTTGTTGTATGGATGAATAGTGGTGAAAAACAGACTCAATCCTCTGGATTTTCTGTCCCCCAAATCAACATGCATTCATGAAAAAACATGAAGTGAAACAGAATACATCACTCCAAACTCCAAGCAGGACTTCCAAATTTATTGAAAATATCTCAAGCATAATAAACATTACGCACGTGGCTCTTGCTGTATCAGTACTGTCACAACTGCTGTTTTAGCCGCTTTGGATTCCTACAGTGACTTCCTTTCAGCACAGCACTATGAAGCAAGTATGGCTGCTACAAATATAAAGCAAACTTAAAGGTCCTACTAGGAATCACAAGTGAAATATCAAGAACAACTTTTTCCTTAAATGAAACCTGAGGACTCCCTGAGTCAGGATTAGGAGTTTAAAAAAAAACCCTTAAATTATGGCTTACGCTTTTTTTCTGCAATTTGTTTACAAAAAAATCTCTGCCTCAGTTAAAAATGTACTATTTGCCATGCCTTGCAGAAAAGACTGTTCTTCCTGCTAGGGTTACGGACAAAGGTCTGGGTTGAACTCTAGCTGTGGCACAGAAATTATCATCCAGACTAAGACACCTCACTCTGGAGGTTCTTCATAGCATCTACACTAGGCTTGTAACTTGTGTGCAATTCAGAGGAGCCAAAGTCCTCCATGTGGCCACTGGAAAGAGCAAGGCACCTATGCCAGAGACAGTGAGAGCTCTGTCAGACCCCTGAGGCAGAGGTGAATCCTCTCTCCCCCATTAAATGGGGGGCTTAGCCCCATTTGAAGGTGGAAACTGAGACAAACGGAAAACGAGACAAATACTGCCAGGCTTTACCAGGGTATTTTGAGGTTCCTGAATACAATGGTGGCAAGCACCACATAAGCAGCTAAAAAGTAAACAGATCTTCAAAGCGGCAGCTGATTAAGGGGGAAGTCCATACAAATGAAGCAACTTAAGTCACAAAATAACTGCTTTGCTCCCTCCCTGGCCAGTAGGATACTGGGGGGAATCTTGCTTTCTAGTTATCATTTTACCTGTGCAAATGAAACACCAGTATGTTACATTATTCTCTTTGAAACTCATAACCTATTGACAGAGCTAACAAAAAGTGGTATTTCTTTTAACCATTTGGCTTGTTACAGGAATCTGCAAGGGCAAACGACAATCCTTATCCATAGCCGGTATGTGAAACATGAATGGCTTTAGGGACACCACTGAAATCAAGAAAAATGCAGTAATGAATCAGTCTCAAAACAGGAGACTTCAACTGACAGTGGTGATACTGTCTGGCTTCATGACAGTTCTTCTGGGCAACATTCAAAAAGAAAGTCATCTGATGTAGCTAGCTTGTAAGAGATGGCTAAAATAATAGCACAGTAAAAAGTTGCTAAGTGCTTTTTGAAGTACCAGCACCAAATGGGATCACTGCAGTACAAGTACCATCTCTAACAGGTACTCAGAATAGCAATATACTGAGAAATGATAGTGCTTTATGCACAGCAAAATGCTAATTGCTTGAATTCTCAAGCACCTGAGGTGCTGAGTGGACTAACTTGTCTTTTAGACATGTCACTAAATCTATATGCACATGAAATACTCCCTTTTTGCAAAGTTACACTAGTGTTTTCTGCACCACTGTGTGCAAAAAGAGAGAAACAATACTGAAAAAACCAAACCAAATATGAATCCAATTCAGCAATCATTGCTGGCATTTTAAAAATGCGTCATAAAAAAAGTGTAGCATCACTGCTAGAAAAGTACATGCTCCAGAAAGATGAATTTCTGATGGACTAGCCCTCATGAAATACCACGCAGGTTTAGAGATATTTCCTCATCAAGTTCATTATTTCATTATACATGCGGTAAGGTGCGTCAAGACCCCAGATGAAATCCAAATGTTCCCATTCTGGAATGTTTTTGTGGTAAACCAAGTTTGTGATCTGAGTGAGCAGCATGGCAACATCCTTTGGGTCTGCCAGCCAGTCCTGTCCACCAGTCCACACAGCAGTTGGCACAGTCATCTCTTTTATTTTGTAGAAAGGGGGAGTAGACTGAGAGGGGGGGGAAAAAGAAAAAAAATATGCAAGCATTAGAAAGAACAAGTCTTCAGAGTGTTATTAAACTGCAAGGTAATACACTAGTCACTGTGAGAGGAATGTGTCAGATGATCATTTTCTCTCCTTTGCTCTTGGGCAGCCAGAGATGGAGATAGAGTACTGACTTTCAAAAGAAGATGCAGCTCCTAGAGTTCTGCAACATTATAGCATGCGTAGCAGGAAACAGGTCGTTTTGGGAAGTTGCAAGACAGGTGGGTAAGGCTAGTGTGTAGTGGGAAGTCCGGGAGAGCATATCTCATTCAAGCATTTCCAAGCCCTAACCAAGTATTCAAAGTGATTGTTACTCTGAGAGTAAGATACTGCAATCTTTCCCTGTCACTAAACTGACAAGGGGCAAAATATTTTTAATACTGTGCACAGCAACTCAGAAACAAACATGGGTGGAGATTAAACAGGCTGAAGATAAGCACTCCGTATGAACTGACCGTCAGTTTCTTCTTGCGAGAAGTGCAGTGGGATCTATTGATCTAAGCACGCAGGACGCTAAATCTTATCAAAACGATCACCCTCAAGAGACAGCGTGCAGACACAACTTTGTGTCCAAGCATGGACTCCATACTGTCTTAGTATCACCTCACAACCCTAGCTCTGTCTTTTTTCTGTAGAAAGCAGCAGATCCTCAGTCTGGGTACTGGGCCACACAGGGCAGTGGCTCTTCAGCATGCAGCACAATCACGTCACAGTCTAAGGCAGCATCAAGAGAAGCGCCCAAATCACTTTTTTGTGCCTCTCAGGAATTGTAACACATCTGTAAAAGATCTCTACCTGGTTGTAGTGAGCCATATTTGCAGTCTTGCTTCCCCAGTCATAAGCTTTGAATTCCCCAGATCTCACAGCCTAGAAATGAACAAATATTCACACAAAGAAGAACTGCAGTGCTTCTATCGAACACTTTTAATAGAGAAAGTAGGGTTAATATTTACCCACACAATGAAACAAAGGCAACCAACACAGGAAATTCTTGAGATACCAGTATTAACAAGTACAAGTGTCATTGCCTTGCTCAGTATCACAGGTGTGGGAAATATTAACACTCAATAGGATCACACTTTGTCCTTTAAGATTCCACACGCTTCCATAGCAACAGTAGGAAAGATCAAGGAAAATAGTTTAATGTATCCAAAGCCAGGATGTGGCAACTCCATGCTTACTTCAGAAATATTTGCATAGGTGTCTAAACATATATAAACACAGCAATGGAGCTTTCTTATAAAGTCTACTCTGCATCGTTTACCACCTATTATTTTTCAGAAATAGCAGTCTATGTAACAGGGATCAGAAGAGGGGGAGGAAAAAGTCTTTAAATTTCCTTCCAGCCAACACTTAAGCAACTACGTACTGCAAAACACTCCAGGTCCACGCTCCTTCTGAATGGACTATCAAGCCCAGCTACAAGATCACAAGTAGCGCTGAGCACTGCTTCCATGACAAACGTGTTCTCTCATTTGCTGGTATATAGCTATGCCTGCTGAGCAAGCATTAGGCACAATAGCATCACAGGCATGAAACTGTGCAACGAGGTGAACTGCAAAATATGCTAATAAAATATAAAATGAAATCAAACAGAAGGAAACAGAACCAAAAACCCACTGCTTTTCACTTGTAGCTTGTAATCAAAACAAGGTTTGTTGAAGGGAGAGCAAACACTTGTTTTAAAACACTTGTTTGCATCTCTATGAGTTACTTTTCCTGCTTGTTTTGTTTATTGGCCTGAAATACTTAAAATTAGCATGGCTTTGAAAGAAATACACCACACTGGGGGTGGGCAGGGAAGGAGCTGGCATCAGAGTCATTATCATAAAAGTAACTGCAGTGAACAGCTGCCATTGTGACAAATTCACCTGGGCTATACGACATATATATTCTGATATTTTATTCTCATTCCAGTTAATTATCAGAAGACACCAGCATTCTATAAACAAGCTAATGGACATTTGAGATGCTGAAAACTCTACCTGGCTCCAGTGGATCATGTTTTGTACAGATGTTCCCGCAGGACAGTGTGTTGAATACACATCCACTCGGCTCTGCAACAAGATAATTATCATGGTTTATTCCTCACAGTGCAACAGTTAGACCCATTATTGCTTTTTGAACAACTAACAGAAAAATTTTCATTCCTCTTAAAACTGAACTGGAGCCATAGATACAGAAGAAGTAAGATGTTCAGATGCTTCAGAGATTACTTACCGTTACCTGCAGAACATTGGGCCAATTTAAATTAACCTAGAATATGGGATTATGTTTTGAGGTGAATTGTTAAAGCAAGAGTATGACCACAAACACCTCTCTCTTTCTTCCTTTCTGTTTTTACTTAACATGAGATGTGAGCGCAAGCCTTCCCCTAGGGTACTGTGAGTCTGAAGACAAAGTACCGTTAATATGAGTTCAACTCTTGGTAGTAAGAGTTACTAGAAGTAGTAATGGAACCTATTTAATTTCTTTTCCCCAGATGAGTGGAATGCAAAAATGTAAAGCACAGAAAATTAAAATTAAAACCACATGGAGACATAAAGCGGGGTGTGTATATATACACACACACACACACACGCATGTTTGTATGTGTGTGTGCACGCATATACATATATGTGCACATATGTATAAACACAAAAAATAATTCAATACAAAAAAATTTTTACAGATGACCTTTAAACATGATAATGATATCCTTTAAGCCCTATACACTTAAAACTACTTTTTAAAAGTGCTAATATTGTAAGAATTGGGAGTATATTAACTAATGTTTAGATGCGCCTCCTCAGAAGCCTAGACTTATTCTACATCTACACTAGTAGCTTCCAGTCCAAAGTGATTCAAAACTTCATATGCCTTGAGTTAAAAAGTACATAACATCCAGGGGAAATACATTATAATTTAAATCCTGGCAGAAAAAAATCATTATCCACCACTAAAACCATGAAAACTGTATGCACTGGGCAAAAAATAAGGCAAAACCCAGTGCTTTCACCTTGATGTAAAATACACAAGTTGTGCATCCTGGCAGATAGAATGATGAAAAAAGTAATGCTGATTCCATCCTACTCCAATAAAATAAAATCTCCTCAGAGTTCATCCACCTGTGGAGTATACTAATAGCAGCTTCTACTGATTTCTGGGAGTTAAGAAACACTTTAAGAAGCATTACAAAAAGCATTATGAAAGCATTTTCATGCCAAGTGCTGTTAATTAGCTTTTAGAAAACAAAACAAATCCTACGCATACCCCTCTGGAACTAGGACCACAACTGACAGCATCAGCAGAGGCAGAGACTGGCCCCAGAAAAAATAACTGCACATGCCCACCAAGAAATCAGAAAAAATATCAACAGCTCTCTTAATAGTGGTGCAAACCAGTACCCTTCTTTCCTCTCTTCTTTGTAAAAGGACCGAAACATTTGCTCCATCACTCATGACATTAATACACTTTTCTTAGCCATTTCTCCAACAGATCAACAAGAATTTATTTTAACTTTCCAGTATCTTTTTAAAAGGTTAATTCTATCCATTTCAACTGGACAACTTTGAAGCTGAATTCCCATCGACACCAAAGAAAGATACACATCCAAACTCAGTACAATGAAGAATCTTTTTTTTTATGCATATAAAGAGCAAGCAGTTCAGTGGTACACAGTCAATATGTGTTAAGAGTTCACAGTAAGTTAACTACTCAAAGTCATCAAAACATACCATATTCAAGTTTCTCTCATTAAAACCACACAGAAGAAAGAATATGTTGCCACAAAGGTCATCGAGTAGTCTATGGGTGCAAACATGGGTAGCAAGCCACTTCAACAAGGAATTCTGAGGAAGAAATTGTTTCTTTCCAAACATATCCTACAAAATAACAAACACAAGGAAGAAACATGTAATTGTGTAAGACGATGTGGTTTTAGTTTTTATGCTACAGCATTCTTGAGGTAACTATTTCCATTTGTACTGATGACTGGTAAGTCACATGAAAACGATCTATCCTCTTATCAGTCTTATTTACAGTCCAATGGGAAGGTCAGAATTAGTGCTCTTGCTAACAAATGATGTAGTCATTTACCCCCACAAAAAAATATATGGAAATAGAGAGTCATTCCAGAATTTCACATCTAATCTCAAATTCCAACTGATTTTAAACTCACTGTTTCACAGGACTACTGCACAGATTCTTGTCATTAGAACTGTTTAAGGCTAAAATATTTTAAGCTGCATCTGGTAGTAAGAGGCTTTTGTACTTGCAACTTCCTCTCTTCTAACCATGTAAGAAAACAAGTTGCATGAGCTGCAGTGGCCACTTCCTCTTGCTGTTTTTAACGCCTCCAAGGATTTCAAAACGGCCCACTGAGCACTTAAGAAGTCACACAACTGTTTAAGGATATGCCTGACCCATGGGTTTGTGGCTCTCATGTACTCCTACAGCTTTTTTGAAAGTCACCATGACAGTCAAGTTCCCACATGAACATCTGCACTACTGTAAAACCGAGCATTCTACATGAGGGCACCAAACAACAACTATCCTGATTAGACAAGTTCATTACATGAAGAATAGGAGATGACAACTGTTAGTATCACTTATGTGTACTGCTCTAATAATAATAATAATAATGAAACTAATAATGCATGCACACACACGCATGCATCAAATTTGTACAAGGCACTTTAGAATCTAAAGGGTTTATCTCACAGAATGCATAGCTCTGTGTGGGAATCTCCACGGGTGGTGCAAAGAAACGGGATGGTTAGAAACGACACACAGCAGGGTATTCACAACGTCTGACTTGGGGCACCTACTGCAGCCTGCCTTTCTTCCCCTTCTTCTTCTTAATAGAGAATTGTAAACTCCTCCAGAGGGTGATTCATAGCACCTAAATAAAGCTGCTGCTCTGAAGGATCCTCTTCTAATACTAAGTGGTTAATTGTGAAACAAATATGTTAAAGTTCATGGCAATTCAGAAACATTCTGTATAAAGTTATCATATGACTTTCCTAAAACAGACCAGCTATTTAATTAATCCTGGGATTTTTGTAGCTCCATTCTAGAAGCATGTAAATCAGTACACATAATTTTATTCTCTTAAATTGTACTTGCAATATATTATTTTAAACATACAAACTGTCATGTTAGACTGTAGTAAAACCAGAGCAGCCACTGTTGATTTCCATAGCATTATTATGGAAAAACTGGCCTAGTATTCTTGTGGAATATGTTAATCTCTAATCTACAACTATTAACATTCTTTGCTATACTACTTTCAACCAGAAAGGGACATTCTTCATTTCGCTTAGAACATTTATACTGAAATACAAACCTTGAATAGCAGGTCAGGAAACACTCCCAATTTTACCAGAGGGCTAGTGGCAAACTTGACTGTAGCTACAGGTGCCAAGGCAAAGAACATTTTGATTTTCTTAGCCAGGTGTGGTAAAGTTGAAAAAGCAATGAAAGCTGTAACAAAAAAAAAAAAAAAGAAAAGAAGAAAAGAAAATAATTAACAAACCTCACTGACACAAGTTAGATCAAAATTTTAGCTGGCTGTGAACGCATAAAATCTAAAATCTGTTAAGCGTGCAAACGTATTTTTGGATTATCATCAGTCTAGAAATAGTACTGCCGTGATTTAGTCTGACTGTTGTCTTTAGCATCAGTTTAGGTGTTTTAAATTAATCCAGCTACTAGAGAATACAAATTAAACTTAGCATATCAGAAGGATTTGTTTTCTTCTGAAAAACAGGTTCCAGTAACATACTAACTAACCTAACACTTATAGTTCTGTCTACAAGTCTAAAAGCACCTGACTCAGGCTATGCATATAGCAAAATATTCCAGAAAGGGAAATTTTAATTCCATATACTCAAAATATTTCCTTGAATAGAAAATATACTGGTAGCTACCTGTGAATTTAATTTATTATTTTCACAGGTTCCTACTTTAAATAAGCATATAAAGGTTAATTATTTTCTTTTTAATGTTAACGAATAGTCCAGAAACAGCTAAAAAGCAGAAGCAGTGTATTACTGAAGCGTTATTTTTTTCATCATTAAACCAGATATGTGAAATTGATACCAAGTCAAACAGAGCATGTCCTAATGAATGCATCTCTTCACATACCCATTGTGGTGCCCTGTGAATGGCCAACGTAAAATACTTGTTCCTGGCCAGTTTTCTTCAAAATAAAGTCCACAAAGGCTGGAATGTCATACTTAGCCATTTCATCAAAGCTACAAAGCAAAGATAAGAAGTTGGCTGTATAAGTAAAATTATCAGTGTGGAACAGCTACATAGAGCTTTACTGCACTGCAGATCAGTTGACCGGGCATAAAGAAAAGCTTCCTTTGGATGAAGCTCTGGTGACTGAATTTTCACATAAAGAACTGCTGAAAGCAATGAGAGTTCTGATGATCGTCTGTGAAGACCACCATACCAACCATAAAACTCCCCTTACTGCTACACACGTGTAAGCACATGCTACCAGAAAAAACGTTATACATTCACATTGTGACTGAACTGAGACGAAAGGGAAAGAAAGGAAAAGAAGCCTGCTCACAAACAGCATTAAGCGTGTATTTCTTTAGTTTCCCTACCACATGAGGCTACCTGAAAACCCAGAATTCCTCTTGCTTCACTGTGAAGTGTATGTGTTTCCTGGACCAGGTGTTCCCTCTGCTGTTTCCCAGCCATACATCATAGCCAGCATCTGCCAGCATAAAGCCAAGGCTGTTGTAATCCAGGTTTGTGATCCAGTTACTGCCATCTGCAAGCAAACCATGCTGCAGAAACACAGCAGGCTTTGGACCTGAAAAATAAGGACAATGCCAAATTAGGATACTGAACTGTGGAAATGCAAGATCTCTGCAACTGGTCCCAATATTATTGCTATCCAGCTCCCTTCCGTGACCAAATCTGGCAGAGTCCAAAGAGCAGTATGGGTAGCCAGCAAGGGAATCAATCAATGTTTCAAAGGGCCTTCTCCTCATAACTTAAGTAGTTAAAAAGAGCCAAGGTCAGGACATGCATGAAGTTTAGGAAGCCTCTCCCCTGATTCCCCCAGCCCCAAAAGGGAAATCATGAATTTATGTGGAATGCAAATAAGAAAACCTGAAGATTCCTGCTACTAAACAAAGAAAATAAAATAACATATAATCCTCTGGGAAGAACACGAACTTCAGAAAACCCAAAGACCTGTCTCTGGATCTTGCAATAGCAAAGGCGATATTTTTTCTGCTTTAGTAACTGAAATGTGATACTTGGTGATGTTAACTCAGTGCTAGAGATTAGTCAGGAATTCAGCTCTTTCAATGACACATCATTCTACTACAATACTAAACTCTCACAACACTCTCTCCATTGATAATTCGGATCTAGATCTTTCAGCAGAAATGGCCAAATCACGTATATCTCAGTCACCACACCCTGCATTCCAGCTCATGTCCACAGACCTTTGCTGCGGATTCCAAAACCCAAATTATAAATATTCTTCCCTCCTAGAAGCCTTTATATCTGTGACAAGGAATCCTTTTAATACCTGCTTTTCCCATTTTGTTAAAAACAAAAAAATACTGTGGTACACAATTCCTGCAATCAGAGTAAATTCCTGGGAAAGCCAAACTGGCCCTATGGCTAGTATCGTTCACCAATACTTTTTACTCTGTTGTTCTCATCGTACTTCATTGTTTTAGTAACAGCATGCAGGTTTTTCAGGACTAACATTAAGTTTGTTTTCAGTAATGTTCATTTTTAATTTTGATGCTCCCTCCTCCCTCTTCTACTCAGCTCAGATCCATCAACTTCGGTTTTTTGAAAAACTCTCTCCTCAGGCTGCTACTCCTATGTTTCATAAAACAGGGAGGAGAAAAAGTGTTTAACTATTTTAATGCTTCAATTTTTTTCACTGATTAGCCACCAATTTCTGCAGGCTCCTTTTTCACTTTATGAAGCAATCAGCAGATCTGCACATGAAACGCACAACCACAAGACAAACTGACTTGAACAACGATAATTTTATAGAACCTTTGCTCCTAAAATCCCCAGAGGGGGAATGAGGGAGGGAAGACCTAAACTATTCTTTCCTGTATAGAGCATTTTTTCTCATCACTGTCTCTCCCCCAAAATTCTAAATGCAAAACACTCTTCAAAACTTAAACCACTCCCATTCTTACCATCATGACTCCTTTCAGTTAACACAGATTTATTAAAGTTATAACTGCTAAGTAACATAAATAAGCTTACTGAAAACAATTAAGTAACAGAACCACGTTACAGGACTTCAAGTTCTCACAACTGACAAAAACCAAGTTGAAAAGGATTTCTACACCCTGCTTACTGTACTATGCAGGTTTTTTTAGATTTTTAGTTAATACTAAAACTGAAAGTCACTGATGTTTTGGTTTTAAGCTCTCCTGGCATTTTCTCACCTTTTTTTCAGCTGTGGAATCATAGTGTGTGTGTGGGGGGGGGGGTTGTTTTTTTGTTTTTTTTGCAAAACATCATGTGATGCATAACTCCAGTGGATCCTATTCACATTAAGTAAGTATTTCACAAGAAGAATTATGGCATACATACGCCAGGTCAGCAGTAACACATCATTGGTATCTTCTGAGAAAAGATACCAGGTCTATAAAAACTTTAGATCAACATGAACTTTGAAATGTTCATTCTTCTTCTAAGAGATCATACTTCCTCAAACGTGCTTAGTAATCCTTGTTTTTAAAATTAAGGTACTTCGCAAAACATGAACTTGGGGCCGAGGGTGTGGCAAGGGGAATGTGGAGAATTCCCACAGGTCAGGAAACTTCTGTTTGCTTATGTCATAGATGAAAGAGTCAACAAAAATCAACACCTGCAAAGGCAGTCTGTCTTCCCTGCAGACTTCTCTGAATTTTTAAGTACAAGAGTCACCTTTAACCACCTGTATGGTTTGACTAGCATCATCCATGCACTGACGTTCACACATCTACTTTGTGAGTGATCGTGATTAGGGCAAACATCCTAACTCATCTAAAACCAACAGTTAAGGTCAGGAAGACTCTTGTTTGGCCTTTAGTAGCTAAAATGTCTTTTCTCTTTTGTCCATACCCAAGGCTACAGAATGGTCTCTCTTTCCTTATGTGAGCTGCATATTTATACCTCTCACTGCAAGCTTTTTTTAAGCTCAAAAGGTTCTGAGGCAGTCCAAAGGATATGTACAGCTTCCATGCAAATGGCCAGCTGTTGCACGTGTGTATTTGTATGTAGGACTTTTTTGTAAAGGGTGGTTACATAACTGATGCCAGTCAAATTCAGATGCCAAAATTAAGTCAAATTCAGATGCCAAAATTATCACTGTCCAAGTCAGTTTGTCTTATGGTTGTGCATTTCTCATGTGCAGATCTGCTGATTGCTTCGTTTTGTTCAGATACACAAATGCTATTTCTGTATGCAGAGTAAGTGTACAATAGGTTAAAGGTTATGCATCTCTCTTCTTCTATATACATTTTTTGTCTCATTTTTAAAAAAAGCAACTCATCATTGAGTCCTTGCAAAAACCTTTGTCC